CTTCTTCTTCCAATCAAAAGCTCAAACATAAAATAAAGTAAGGCAAAAAATAGAAAGAACCAAAGCTGGGAAAAACCAACAGTCATAATGGTTTCTCGAGCCATACAAACTAGCAGTCATGCTTGACTTTTATTTTTCACTGTGTTCCTACTTGTTGACTTGCAATTTGTTCCCTTTGCTCTCTCATTCTTTGTTGATTCTCCTTAGTCAAATTTGCTTAATTTTTGGCTTTTTTTATCATCAATTTAGCTCTAAACTCAACTTGAAGCTTTTTCAAATCAGCTTGTACAGTAAGTTCTTTCAAGCAAGCTATCTTGTATAAGAAAGGAAAGTTCCAAATGCCTTTGTTAGTGCTCATAGTTTGGGGCTTTATGGTCATGGCTTGGCATTTTTTTCTTCTTTTTCATGGGTCCATTTTCGCATGGAAATCAACTCTTCTCATCTTCCACAGGCCTTTGAATTGCCTTGCAAATTTTCTACTAGGTTTGGCCATTGCTTGCATGTTGACATTAGGTGCAGGCATGATGTTTGGTTTTTTCTTAGACATGAAATTTAGAGAATTTAGGTGTATAATCAAGCAAAATTAAATCAAGTAAGTTAAAATTTAACCAATTAAGTACATGTTAATTCTAAAAAAAATAGAATTACCAGGTACTTGATGAAAGTTATGGAACCAAAAAAGATGGAGTAAGAGCGTTGAAAGAACAAGATTTGATGAGATGGTAGTGGTGATGGTGCTAAGAGAAGGACCACTGCCATTCCCTTTTGTTGAATTGCTGTGTGTTTTCACAAGAAATGGATAAAAACCATAAGCTGCAGCGTTGTAACTTGTAAGTAAAATATAAGGTCCAAAATTAGACATGGCAGAATGGTCTGATTACCGGTGCATGTTATCTATAATTTATAATCTATCTGTAACTACATATAATGACAGTCCCCAATTGTCTATTGGGATACATCTCAACAATGTAAATAAAATTGATTGGATGGTTATATTTAGGGAAACGTTGGTTTTTTTACTGTAAAAGCAGTCTTCTCTTAGCGATGTTTATCTGTTTATGCATGAAGGCCATGTGTTTGATAACTTTCTTTATTTTTCAGGAAAATGATGATGAGAAGGAAGAAGGGCGTAAGTGAGAGGGAGAGAGGAAGGAGAGAGATTGAGAGAAAGCGAGAGGAGCTAACTTTTTAAAATTCTCATATTCCCTTGAAACTTTTATTTCTTTTTTATTTTATTCTGTTGGAATTAGAGATGGAGGGAGTGGTGGCGGCGTCACCGTCGTCGAGCACGCCACCGTATGTGATCTGGTGATTGGGAAAGAGAAAAGCTTTGGACATGTCTTATCATTTCGCTATTAAGAATTGCTCCCTTTTTTTCTCTTTGGCATTTTTTTACAGGTTCAAGTTTGGCAAGGAGGTCGTTTATTGGCTTAATTCTGTCGTTTCAAGTAAATAAATGTTGGATTTAAACTTGATATGTCAGATTTGGTTTTTTTTTTAATTTTTCTTTTAATTTTTGACAACCAAAAAAATGAAAAATGAAGGGAAAAGGAAAGAAAAAAAAAAAGAAATAGGGTCTTCTTTTTTGTGCTTCAAATTTTCTTTTTGGGTTTAAACTTCAATTCAAACATTTTTTTTTTCTTTTTTATAGTTCTAGACTTGGCTAAAGGGTTTGGACTTAAATTTCTTAGTCGAAAGCTACAGTAGCGACAGTTGCCACCTTGAATCCCAAGCAGATTGCCAAAACTCTAGCTGGTACAGCTGTGTACACAGTGAGCAACTCCAACAATGAGTTCGTGCTTATCTCTGATCCAATTGAGCCAAATCTATTGGCTTGCTTTACTTTCACCAAGAAGACGCCGAGGCATTTCTTGCTCAGGTTAGTTAAATTTTTTAAAACAGGAGCAAAGTTTGAAGCTTTGGGTTGATTTTGTTTTATTTTGTCATAGGTTTGATTAAGGAGCAGGGAGCTGAAAAGTAATGCCAAAGTTGTGCCGATTACACTTGATCAGCAACTCTTTTTTAAATTATTGGTTTATCATTTATTTATGAAAATAAAAACGTTACTAAAATTGAATTAGAAATAACAATATTGCTTTTTATGATTACTGGTTTTATAATTTATGCTATAGGTATATTCACTAAAGATTGAAGGAGTTGCATTTCATTTTCTACCGGACTTCATTCAAATAAAGAATGCATTAGAGGTTAATGTTTCTTGTAATTTGATTTTAAGGTTGATCTTAAAAAAGGACATGATATTATCCTAAAAATAGCTTAACATTGCTACTCAATGCTGTAGACTTATTTCATCTAGACTGTGTATTGCCATTTATTTCATCTAGATTGTGTATTGCCATTTTCTTAATAAGGCAATGAAGAAAAAGAAAAAAAAAATAAAAGGACAAAAGGTTTCAATTTTCATGTAGGTGGAAGAGAGAGATTGTTGGGTCAAGGTGTCAATTTTTATATGGACTGGATGTTGGGTACTTAGACAAGACAACAATGCTTCAAGTGGAGTTGTGACAATGATTCATTCATATTTGAATAAAGATGTTATCTTTCTTAGTTGGATAAATCTACACCATTAGCTCATAATAGTTTTTCATGTTTATTAGCTTAAAGCTGGTGACATCAAAAGTGGGTTTGATGGAGTTCTTATTTTTTAGGTATGATATTTATTTTATTAAATACATATGATGTCCTTAAGAGTGGAAATATGGTTAAAAGGCATTTTATGCTTGAATAATCCTGTCGTTATTGCATACAAAGCACAATGATTATTGCTTTGAAGAATTTTTATATTAAATTTGTTCTTGCTTTTGCTGGTGAAAACATTCATTAACCAAACTTGTGGTGAGAGTAGTTTGATTAATTTGTATTTAGTTTTTAATCTTTGCATGATTGGATAACTAATTTGTCAATTTTCCCATGAATCATTTTTTGATTTATCCTTTTTTTTAATTTCTTTTCTCTTTCCGTATTTGGGTGATGATCTTTATTTTTTATACATGTGAATCCTTTGTTTTCTTCAATTAGATTTGGCTTAAATCACATGGGAATCGGATTATTTCATTCTATATATAATATCATAAAGTTGTCTTTAAATCGCAGATTCCTACATGATGACTTCTGCAGTTGGTGCTAATGGATTTGGCAAAGCAAACTTTTTTCACGGTAACTATACTTTAATTATGTTACTTCTTATCTATTTGTTGAGTGTTGACCGGTGTTTCTTGAAGCCAAATGACATTGAACTTTCTCTTTTGCTTTTTATTGTAGCTATTCGTTTTGTTTTGAGTGACCTTTTTCAGAATCTGCACAGTGAAGATAGGCATGCACTATTATACATATGTTTCATAATACATTTCTTTCAAACTATTTTGATGTGGATTTTTGTAACCACATCAATAATTAGACATTAGTGTAAATGATGATTTTGTTTCTTCTTTTGTGGAGAGTGGAAAGTTGTGGACGTACCTTAGGTTCAAGTCAATAAGTCCTTGATCTGCATAAGTAACGTTTTTAAGATGGGAAGTTATCTTTGAAAATATACTACAAAACTCTAACACGTAATTAGCTATGATATACTGAGTAAACATGTCTTTGTATGGTAATATTTAAATTGACTGCTGCTGCAGGATCGATTGAAAAGATATATGAAACCTGGTTTTACCCAATTTCTGCAGAAGTGCCCAAACTTTTTCCTGGTAAACTCCTTAACCAAACTTTCAGTAGTTGCTCCTTTCTGTTTTTCTCTCAGCTTTACTGCATTAGGGGATGTTACCACTTTTTCGAGAACAATTAATGAACTTCTGTTTATGAGATATGTTGCTGTCTGTTGCAGCATGCTTTTGAGATGAGCATTTTACACTAGCATTCCAATTATTAGTTGTTTCTCAGCTTAGTTTTTCAAAGTTGATTAAGCTTTAAATATTAATTTGCATGAAACTAAAATATAGGACCATGAAAGATGAGCAGGTGCTCTATCAGTCTTAGCCATTCAACCAGCATTAGCAAGCACCAGTGCTTTAAATGATGATTATGAACATTTTGAGCAAATCGTTGTAAATCATTCAAGCATTGAGGTAGATAAGAGTTACACCAACGTACTAATGATTAGTAATCAGACATTTCTGGTAATATGCAGATAGTCTGATAATGAAAAATGAGATATTTTTTCTGAAGAATAAAAGAGATCAATCTATGAAAACCTTTTTTTTATAGTAAAAAAAGGGATGAAGTAGTTTCACTTGTCATATAAAATTATAGTTACATGGAGAAATTAATCATACAGACTGTATATTAATTGACATGAAAAGTTGTAGCCACCCAAGCTGAATAGTTACAGTTTTCTATTAAGGAATTAGTATGACTTTCAATTGAGGAGTTAAAATTTTTCTAATTTCTTCATGCACAAACTTTTTCAATATTTTTCTCCTATTTATGTTATCTGCTTTCTCCTTTGATTATTAGTTTTGAAAAGTATGGAGTAAGATTGTTTTTTAGAGAGTTACAGCTCTTTGGGGTAATAAAGCGGACAATTTGATTGGCATAAAGAAAAGTAAATGAAGGCATGAATGTAAGTATAAATGCTCTTAAATTTGTTTACAGGGAATGTCACTGGTAGCTTTTGATGCGGTTATCCTTTTGATTGAAATGGTTGATTTTGCATGGATGTGTATGGATCTTTTGTACTTTTTATTTGTTTGATTCAATTTAAAGTGAATTCTTAATGATTATAATCATTTGCTTTCATAAAAAAAATGTTGCTTGCTATAATAGATTCTGCCTTTGCGTATGTAAGTCTACCATTCTGCTAAGCAAGATCCTTTTCATTATGTTATTGGTTGCAGATTTGTGCCATGTTTTCATGGTTGCATTATCCAACTTACATTAGTTGGTTTCATCCCATGGACTCAAATAATTTAGATGAGATGAGTGTTTCATTAATGGCCAGTGGAACTATTATCTATGCTTCTTCCACCTAACCCATGCATGCTTATGTTTATGACCTCAAAAAACAGTAGCTGATAAGAAGCACCTTTTACCCACAGCCTTGGTGGTTTTCACTTATCAACCCTCACCCTTCTTGAAACATTCCACATGTAAACAATTCAGCACAGTTACAGCCCCTGAGTCATAAGCTTCAACATCACTCTGATAAAACACCCACGATAAAACGCCGATGAATTGAGGATGTAATAAGATTCATGGAACACTTGGGACATAACGAAAACAAGTAATAAATAACTATGATCAATATTGTTTTATTAGTAGTACTTGCTCAGTAGTCTTTGCAGATGGATCTTGGATTGCTACAGTGGAAGCCTTTGAAAGATCTCTAAAAACACCCTGTGAATCAAAAACTTCCCAAGTGAATAATCGAAGAATAACAAACGATTATCAAAGATTATCATTTTCTAAGAGCTTGGAGTTATTCTCCACAAGTAACTATAATTCAGAAGACATGACTTATCGCTTAAAGGATATATTTACTTCTGAAACACGTCAAGTAAATTAAGGTTAGGTGGTGCCAGGAACAAATTGACTGGAAGTAGAAAACTGAATTTCCAGGTTATATCTTTTAAAATTTTGATTTTATGGCATGTCCCTTCGTAAGGAGGTTATGGGATCATCATATTATCAAATCATCAGATAATGAAAGCCTAACCTAAAGGTTTTAGAGTTAACCTTTGTGTCTGTACGTTTTTGTAACTCACATAATGAACTGTCATGCTTGGCTCTGAATGAATTATTATCTCTTTATCATGTGTTAATACATGTTGCAGTTGATATTTCCTTTAATATTGGTTGAATTCTTTATTCTATGTATTATTAGCTCTTGATGGTATGTTACTTGGCTACAAAGTTTACTAGTATCTCTTGGGTTGATTTAAGAATTTTCTTTTCCTACAAATGGAGCTAGGCACTTGATGTTATGTTGATTTACTCACAACATTAATGTAGTTACACATGCAATGATTTCAGTTTGAGATTGTATAAGGTTTACGAGAACTCTTTTGCTTGTATTAAATTGGAACTCCCGTTTCAATTCTCTCTCAAATGATTGCTTTTTAAAAAGCATTCTATATTGAAACTCTTTTTTTATTATTTTGTTATATTTAAATTAATATACAACCAGCGAAACTGCGAGTATTTAACATAAGAGTCTTATCGAGATTCGAACTTGGTTGCTGGATTCAACATTTAATGTCCTGGCCACTAGAGCGTGGAACCATTTAGGGAAAACTCGGACAATTTTGATTTCTTCAACCTAGGGTGCAAACCATGAGACACTGAACAGTTTCACATCATGCAACCGGTAAACTTTACTAACATGACATTGGAGTTTATCTTAATCATTATTCAGACATTAATGATTTAGTTTTACCCCTTGAGCCACTTTTGGATCCGGCACATCATGCAATTTCTGTGAATCTAACTTCATTTCACATGTATTCATCCATGTGAAACATTGTTGAAAGAATGAATATGTACAGCCAAAGCCAACATTATTATAATTAGTAGGCAAAGAGATGACAAAAAGACTAAAACGTAGAAGGCACCTATTTACCACAAAATACCCAAAACTGAGGTGGCGAAGCCGACAAAGGATCTTTGAAAGAAATCTCAGAGAAATCTAAACAACTTGCTTTTGCTAATAAATTACTAGTGCTATGTTTTGAAGCTAGTACTAAAATTATCAATTGTATTAACTCTTCATCTTCTGTTATCCATGAACAACGTGTTGTTCCATGTCACCATCGGCAAGCATCAATGAGCTGTGATGATGCACAAGGTACCAACGTCCATGATGGAACTCAAAGACATTAGTCATGTTAAATGCACCGTTATCCATGTCAACATAGGTTTTCATAGTAACCCAAGCCATGTCGGTCAGTACCCGGGTGCGAACATCTCTAACCTGAAAATCAACCTCTTGCTCCCAATTAAATTCTAGCTGCCAACTCTGTATTACAGCATCATACCTGCATGGGAAAAGAACAATGGATCTCAGCAAAGCAAACCAGTGATATGAAGACCTAAGTCTAGGCAAAATATTAAGATGATATATTACTAACATGATGATTAGCTAATCTCAACATACTTCCGGAAAAAATCAAGGTCAAGATTTTGATAAGGGTAGGTTGAGTATTGAATATTTTTCATCACAAAACCTTCTGATGTGATGCAGGACCAAGCTTGTAACAAAACGAATAACCCTAAAGAAAAAGAAATTTACTGTTAAAAATCTTCAAATAAATATGTTTCATTCAAGTTTTTGCCATTAGTCATGATAGGCAATACATCCTCCATTTGTACAACTCAACTCTAGATGTTAGGTAATACATTCATAATTCAGTTTTACAAATTACAATCTCCCCGTCTTTTCTTAAGAAATTCTATTTGAATGTAGTTGCTTCTAACATATCCATCCTCAACATAACATCTCTAGTTCTCAGTACTCCCCATCACCTAAGGGTACCATGCCTTTTGTTTGAAGCATGAATATGTCTCATGCTTGTAGCAAAAATTAAGAGGCTCTTTTCTCATGGTAGAATTGCACTAATATGTTAAGGCAAAAGCATTGTTATTCCAAGTGAGAAAATCACTATTGCTAATAGCAAAACTCTTGTAAAAGAATTCCAATGGTGGAACCAACTAATGATTCAAGCCACTTACACTGCGATCATATAAACAACCTAAAACCATCATACAAGTTAAAGCTCTTCTTTATCTTCCAAGATTTTGGGAATCATCACAGCGTTTTCTAGACATCTTCACCAGGCAAACATCAAAAGACCAGGCCCTCATTTGACTTGCATTTAATTAACTATGCTACGTTACATCTATAAATAGTTAGGTAAGCATGTCCATGCAACTTAACCCAATCATACAGTTGGAAAGATCTACAGGAAAATGTTCAAGCAACAGGATAAAAGAATTAAAATACCGTAAACTTTATTGGGCTGGGTTCAGAGTTTGAACCCAGACCCACCTCAAGGTTAGAATCTGAATTTTAGAGCATAAGCCTGATGAAAAATGATAGAAATTACTGAAATTATAACCTTCAATCATCATAAGAACAAAAAGAAGTAAACAGCATTTCCTGATGGGAGTGAAAGCATCATACCCTGTAAAAAGTTCTCCTGATGCATGAACACACTTTACATAATCCGCATTCAGCCAAAAACGACTCATCGCTGGAAGAGACCTATCTCTGATGATGTTAAAGAATTCTGTATTAACATTCATTATGGCTCTTGTAGCTGCATAGTATGCCTTCCACCCATTAACTGGTGTTACACTATCTTGCTCCAAAGTAAAATCCTAATAAACAAAAGATTAAGGCAGAAAACTTATGCCTACAGCCCCAAAACTGAGAAAGATACCAACAACCAACTCTTAAGAGAAACATGGGCGGAAACAATGGTTGAAGAACACGATCGTAAGAAAAATTGCAATCACCAGTTTACATAAAAGAATGGGCCCAAAGGTTGAAAATTGCGATTGCTTGTTTTCTAAAGCCTATGAGGTGATAAACAAACTCAAACCACAAAGAAACAAAATAGAAGATACAACAGCCATATAAATAGCAAAACAGGAATGAATCTCTTCCTTTACAGGACTGAGATAAGAAGACAAAAGCCTTTTTTTTCCCGCATAAAGTCAACACGCTTAATATCTGGCCACAATAACAATTCACCAAGGGAAAGAAACATACATTGTGGAAAAAAAAAAAAAAAAACACAGCTATATAGAGGAAGTTAGCACCAAACATTAAAACAAGTACATCTGCTCATTCAAGATAAACAAACCATGCCATGATATTGTGTAGTTAGGTTCTATACTCCCAATAAACTACGAACTAAAAATAGATTAAGGCAGATTTCATACTTTCATTGGAAATGCTATAGTCAAGGAATCAAGGAAAAAAATTTTTTTTTTTAAAGAATGTCCTCTGTGAGTAGTTTTATCTTGATAATCAGTTTTTTTTTTCTCAATAATTTTACTACTTACTTAAGTGTATTTCCATTAATAGAAAATACTACATGAAATTAGACAGAGAATTCACCAAAATCAAAAAAGCAAAGGACCCAAAAAGAGCAAAGGCAAAAAAATTTGAGGAAATTGGGTACCTTGTTATAAAGCGCTTTCCAAGCATTATCATCATTAGCCGCCTTTCTCATCAGCGAATTAGTCATAGAGAGCCGGCAAAGGCTCGGATAATCCAAGTAACTGAGCGCGTGTGTTGTAATCTCCGGCACTAACTGCTCCATCATCGACGCCCCACTCTGTTTCTCCGCCAATACCATGGAAACATCCGCCGTCACCATACTCCCTTCCGTCGTTTCAGCACTACCACCGTTCAGGAAAGCCACGGAATCGGAAGTTCCGTTGCAGCAGGAACGGTTACAGGAGGACGAAGGTGTGGCTTCTTTGTTTTCCTTTTTACCGGCTGACGTGGAGGGATCAGAGGGGTTAGATTTGTGGGGCCTATTGAAGAATGAACAGAGGGCAAGGAAGGTAAGGATGGTGATGATTGTGGCTATTATCAACGGCTTATGGGATTGTAGGGCGATGGGGAGGCTATAGGCAATTTCCATTCATAAGACATTAAAGCTTCGCCGTACATGAAATAAAACCCTAGAAATCTCCAGTGATTAAAAAATATTAAAACGCAGAAATTTTTTGGCTTTTACTTAATTTGGAGTTTTTAGTAAAAGTATTTCCCTTTTTTGAAAAAAAAATAATAATGTATAAAAATTAAAACGAAACTTCAATTTTGTTGCAGAAGGGAGAGCGGAGAGTTGTAACCGAGTAGAAGAAGGAGAAACTCAAACCAGAAATATAGGTCATCATTGGGGGATAGTTTTGTAATTGTAGTCTAAGAATTTCCTGCGACGACGTCGCTTGGGTGCACGACGTTTTCTTAGTATTTTCTCCTCACCGAACCTTTTGTTACTAGCTACTTGATAAGTGTATTTTTATTGGATATTATAATCGAAATAAAATCTTTTAAAAAGGTTGACTTACATAAAAATAAAAACTAAATTGTGTCAACCACCGTGTGAATCATTCATCAATCTTTGATCCGAGAGTTTTTTTTTATATTTTTTCTTTTACTATTTATTTTCTCATTCATCAAAATTGAATAAATTTTTTTAGTTAAAAGCGCTTTTATCATATGGGAGTTTTTTTTATATTTTTTCACTTTTATTTTGATATTAGATCATAAGCATTTTTTTTTGGATAAATGTATAATTATTATGGTTTTAAAATAAGTGAAGTGACATGCTACGAGCAAAACAAAACGGCAAGAGTAATACTTTTTGTCTTAGAAGCCAAGTCAGACATAACTAAATCAACTTATTTTTCTTTTGCTATCTATTTTCCTTTTTTTTTTCATTTTTATAGTGACTAACAACAATAACAATACACTAAATTTTATATTACATTCATGCTTTGGAGTCGATTATATAAAAAACTAAATAAAATAATCAAATTAGATTATAATTTGAATTTTTTTGTGCTACTTATTTTTATCAATAATCACATTTTCATTTAATTCCTTAACTATCATATCATTTTTTATTATTTTATTTATATCTTTCATGATCTACCTCTAAATGTTTTGATCTCTCTTGGATCTAAAAATTTAATTCTCATAATCAATGCACAATTAAATATGTATTTCACATGTTCAAACTATCGCAAATAATCCTCTTTTATCTTTTTTTTCAATTTGGACTATCTTTCATAGATAGTGACTAAACAAGCTGCTAATGGGTGCAACACTAGAATGAAGCATGGAGTTAAATAAATCTTGCATGAAATTGGGTAGCATTTTTCTTTGCAGTTAAGTGGTTAAATTAGACACATGAAATATTCAAGTATAAAAGATTCAGTTAAATGGCTAAACATTTTAATAAGTTCACTTTCTTTTACTATTAATTTCCCTCTTTGTGGGGGGCATATTTCTATATGCTTAAAATTCCTTAAATTTTTTCTTGCTTTCTCTTTCAGTCAAGGACAAACAAAACTTTATCAAACCAAAATCCTTAAAAAATGGGTGCCAAATCCCTTCCAAAGCTGTCAGATGTTAGATTTTCCCAGCATTCATGCATTCATTTTTCAGTTTCATCTCAACAGACTTTTAAACTCTGATCATATTGACTTCATGATGAATTTCTTGTGAACATCAAATCATTATCGAATCCAAAACTTAGTTCAATTGATTTATACAATAATTTTAGTAAATTATTTAATAGAATTGAAATTCAAATTTCAATATCTATAATATATTCTCTTATTTTGAGACTGTGTCATAACCCTATTTGAAACTAGCTTAAGAATAGCAATAAAAGCAAATAAAATGCTTACAGCTAATAAACAAGTTCTTTACTCTCCAGTAAGAATGAGCAAAAATTGATTTAAATTAATTTAATCGATTGAAATCGATGAATTATGGTTAATTTGGTTTGGTCTAATCGATTTTCGGTTGTAGTCAATTTTGAGATTGATTAAATTGGTTAGTTATCAGTTCTTAAAATTAATAATCAAACTGACCGAATTAATTAACTCTATAATAACTAAAGGCAAATATGTATATTTCCTTTGAAAAAATCCTAAACTTAACTTACTTTTTCTAACCCCTATCATAACCCACCTATGCCATCCCTTTTCTACTCAACTGCATATCAGCCTCTTACATCTTTGCCTTCTTCCTTTGCTAGACTACCTCTCTACCGCTCTCGTATTTTTGCCTTTCTCACCTCTAATTTGCTACATAATATTTGTACAAGATCAAAGTTTGACAGTTGCAGAGATCTTTCTTTGCTACATAAGACTTACAGCTACCATAAGTCCCTGATAACCTTTCTCTTTACCTTTATTGTGATACTATAAACACAATGATCTTTAGTTTTTCTCTAATGAATCAATGCTAAACCCCAAACAATTAAAAAAAAAAAAAGCAACTTATCCATTTTGAAGCTGAGCTGACAATGATTTAAATTTCTTTTTGGTGTAGTTATTTGAGTAAAAATTAAAAAAAAAATCAAAAGGGAAAATTAAAGATTGAATATTATATTAAAAATATTTTAAAAATCAATTAATCTAAAAAGAAAAAAGCTATATGTTCTTGTTAATTTTATAACTTATTACCTTTGAAAGCTTGAATATATAATCTCCAATCAATTTTTTATAGGTTCCTGAATTATAGTACTGCACCAATAAAAATAGGCTGGTGGTTACATTATGGGCACCTCAAGCTAAAATCTTAAACCATCCGTCCATAAGTGGATTTTTGTCTCATTGTGGCTGGAACTCAAGTCTAGAAAATATAGTCAATGGTGTTCCAAATATTGTGTGGCCACTGTATTATTACTATTTCATTAAATATTATTATTACTTAAAAATAATAATCGTGGAACTTAAGTTTGGATATTATAGTCCATAATCACTTAAAAATGGTTGATAAATTATTTTATTAAATATTATTATTACTATAAAAAAGATTAGATAAGAATTATTACTCTTGTTTATTTCAACTTGGGGTTTAAGTCTATTGTTTAAAACTTAAGTAATTTGTTTTCTGGATAAGAATTCTTTCATTTACTATGCTTGTATAAAAAAACATATATTATTATTATTTATTTCAGCTTAGGGCTTTAGTTTATTGTTCAATACTTAAGTCATTTGTTTATTCTTTGGACTAAACTGATCATACAATTGATATGAATACCATCAAAATTATATCACACTTTAGTATATTTGTTTTTTTTTAATTTTACCCATATATAATTATAGAGTGTACTTTAAATACAATTCATATTTAAACAGCTCGATTAATATGAGTGCTTGTACTTTTTTTATATAATTTTACTTTTATTCATTATTTGAATATAATTTAATTATTTATTTTTTATTGTTTGGATAGAATTTGATTACTTTTTTTTTTAAGATGTCAAACGAAATGGATGATATGACTTTAGATTCTACGCCTAATTAAACACAATTAACCTCATACATGCAATGAAGTAACAAAAAGTGAAGCTACAAATTCTAAAGTGACGAAACAAGCATCTAAGCCATAATCAAAGGTATGAGACCACTTCAATAAATTTGTCAATGAGGAAGGCAATCGTAAAGCTAGGTGTAATTATAGTAATAGAGAATTTTTTACTGATCTTAAAAAAAATTGGAACCACCGTATTAAAGAATCACATGAATTATTGTAAAAAGCTTTTTCAAGCTAGTGGGGATGATGGTACACAAACAGCATTGGTGTTGCCGTTAGGAGGAGTGGAATCTTTAGGCACATGAAAATTTAATCAAGATGTTATTAGAAATATGTAGCTAAAATTATTATTCTAGATGAATTACTATTTAGATTTGTGAAGGTGGTAAGGATTTAGGTATTGCACGTTAGTTGCATGTTCTAGATTGCATGTACCATCAAAATGGCCACTTGCTAAGGATTGCTATCAACTTTATATTGATGAAAAGAATCATTTGAAGCAATTGATGAAATCATCTTCCATAAGAGTATTTCTTACTATTGACACATGGACTTCATTACAAATAGTTAATTATATGTGTCTTACGATTCATTTCATAGACAACGATTGGAAACTAAACAAAAAGATGTTAAATTTTTATCTCATTTCTAGTCACAAAAGTGAAGCCATTGGTAAGGCAGTTGAGAAATGTTTACGTGATTAGGGATTGATAAGATTTTTACTATTATAGTTGATAATGCTAGTTTTAATGATGTTGCAATTGTATATTTGAGGAAAAAATTTAACAATGCTGGAACTAGTATTTTAGAAGGTAAATATCTTCATTTGAGATGCAATACACATATTGTTAATCTTATAGTTTGTGATGGATTGAAGAAAATGAATGAATCAATTGCTCATGTTAAAGGGGCAGTAAAATATATGAGACAACCATCTTCTAAGTTAGCCAAGTTTAAAAAGTATGTTATGAATGAACATATTCAAAGTAAAAGTTTATTGTGTTTGGATGTTAGCAATAGATGAAATTCTACTTATTTGATGTTGGATACAGCTCCAAGTTTGAAAGGGCATTTGATACATTTGATAATCTTGATCTTTATATAGAGGTGAGTTTTTTATGGAAGATGGGGTGTCCGATCAAAATGATTAGGCAATTGTTAGAAAATTTTGCCTTTTATTGTAACAATTTTATGATTCACCATGAAAGTTTCAAGTACTTCTTACGTCATATCTAATATTTTTTTTTGATGATATATGTGATATTTATTCCACTTTGGAAGAATGGCAATTAAATTCTAATGTTGAGTTGAATGCAATAACAAAGAGAATGAAGATAAATATGATAAGTATTAGAGAAAATGAATATGTTGGTTTATATTGCTTCTCTTCTTAATCCTTTAAAAAAAACTTTCTTTTGTTGAATATTACTTCATGAAAAAATATTCTTTTGATGAAACTTCATTGATGATTAAAAAAGTATAAAAAGCAATAGAGGACTTGTTCAATGAATACAAAAGAATGTTAGATTATAAGCTTTTTTTTTTTTGGATAAATGTATAATTATTATGGTTTTAAAATAAGTAAAGTGAAATACAATGAGTAAAAAAGAATGGCAAGAGTAGTACTTTGTCTTGAAAGCCAAGTTAGACACAACTAAATCAGTTTTTTTTTCTTTTGCTATCTATTTTCCATTTTTTTTTATTTTTATAATGACTAACAACAACAACAATACACTAAGCCTTATATCACAATTCATACTCTAAAGTTGGTTGTATGAAAAATCAAATAAGAGAATCAAGTTAGGTTATAGTTCGAATTTTCATGCGCTACTCATTACTATCAACAATCACCTTTTCATTTAATTCCTTAACTCTTATATTATTCTTTATTACTTGTATTCATATCTTTCATGATTTACTTCAAGATGATTTGATCTCTCATAGATCTAGAAACTCAATTCTCCTAATCGATGCACAACTGGA